TATTACAGACATTTGGTTGTGGACTCTCTCATTCTCTCTCTCTCCAATACACATAAATCTGTGTGTGTTTGTATATTATATTTATATATATCATATACATATGCATATATAAACATACACGCACACTTATGTACAGTTCATATATCCTATATATGGTTCTTATGCCCATCCAAAGGTGTTAGTCAGTAGCTTTATTATTATTACTTTTATTTTTTGAGATGGGGTCTCATTCTGTCGCCCAGGCCGGAATGCAGTGGCACAATCTCAGCTCACTGCAACCTCCACCTCCTGGGTTCAAGTGATTCTCCTGCCTCAGCCTCCTGAGTAGCTGGGATTATAGGTGTGCGCCCCCATGCCCAGCTAATTTTTGCATTTGTAGTAGAGATGGGGTTTCACCATGTTGGCCAGGCTGGTCTTGAACTCCTGACTTCAGGTGATTCACCCTCCTTGGCCTCCCAAAGTGCTAGAATGACAGGTGTGAGCCACCGTGCCTGGCCAGTAGCTTTATAATTTAATAAACAATTGAATTTAATGCTCTTTTTCATTCACATGTTTTGTTTGGCTGTGAAGGGCATTTTTCTCTTCTGTCAAGGTGCAGTGTGGGAACATCGGTGATTTGAAGTAATAATTAGGCTTTCTTTTTCTTAGCAATTATGCTGTGTCAGTAGGAATGGAAACGACCATTAAGAACATTCCCAAAGCATAAACTTTACAAACAGACAGAGTCGTATTTGAATCCCAGCTCTGCTATTAGTTGGCACACTAATGACACGTCAACAGGGGCGCATGTAAGTCAACTCTGGATACAAGTAGATTGTAAATTGTGGAAGTTGGTTAGTGATTAACTGGGAAAGAGGAAAAGAATAGCGGCTGGAAGAGCAAAAGGAAAGTAGTTAGATTGTAATACTTAATCTCTTGATTTTGGTCGTTGTTGCACCAGTATGTTAACTTTCAGGCTGTATAGCCTATGCACGGTATCTTTCTGTGTGTACTATTTCTGTATGTATTATTTAATAAAATGTTTATAAGAGTGATAGTCGAGATCTTTGTGTCCCCCACAAATTGATATGTTGAAACCTAATCCCCAGGCCCCGCGCCCCTTCGCCGCCGCGGGCTCCCGGGTGTGGTGTTGGCTCCAGCTGTCTGCTCCCGCAGTGCAGCGCCTCCGTTCCGCCCCTCCGGCTTTCTGAACCCTGGCCCACCTCGAGCGCACCTTCATCGCCCTCAAGCTGGACTGCGTGCAGCGCAGCCTGGTGGGCGAGATCATCAAGCGCTTTGAGCAGAAGGGGTTCCGCCTTGCGGCCATGAAGTTCCTCCCGGCCTCCGAGGAACACCTGAAGCAGCAATGCATTGACCCGAAAGACGGCCCATTCGTCCCTGGGCTGGCGAAGTACACGAACTCAGGGCCGGTCGTGGCCATGGCCTGGGAGAGGCTGAATGTGGTGAAGACAGGCCGAGTGATGCTTGGAGAGACCAATGCAGCAGATTCTAAGCCAGGCACCATTCGCGGGGACTTCTGCATTCAGGTTGGCAGGAACATCATGCATGACAGTGACTCGGTAAAAAGTGCTGAAAAAGAAATCAGGCTGAGAGTCAAGAGTGCGAGGAGAGCAGAGCGTGTGAGCAGCGCAGCGGCCTCCTCTCCTCACCTCGCTCCCGCGGCCTCCCTTTACCTACCCGCCTGCACGGCGCCCAGAACACCTTCCACCGTCACTGCCTCAATAAGTTCCTATTTAACAAAGGCATCAAGTAGGGGTACGTGTCCCCGCCTCAGGGCGAGAAAGTCCAGGCCACGCCTATCTGGATCGATGGTACTGGAGGGGACTGCGCTGCAAGACCAGGACCCTGGACACTAAGCCCAAGTGCGTGGAAGAGTTCCTGAGTGGAATTTCCATGGCTCTAGCACTTTACAGTCTGGAGGCTCCAACAGTGACATGTATCTCGTGCTTGCTGCCATGTTTCGGGACCCCTTCTGTAAGGACCCTAACAAGCTGGTGTTGTGTGAAGTTTTCAAGTACAATGGAAAGCCTGCAGAGACCAATTTGAGGCACACCTGTAAACGGATAATGGACGTGGTGAGCAACCACCACCCCTGGTTTGGCATGGAGCAGGAATGGGGACAGATGGGCACCCCTTTGGTTGGCCTTCCAATGGCTTCCTGGGACCCCAGGGTCCATATTACTGTGGTGTGGGAGCAGACCAAGCCTCCAAGCCTATGGCAGGGAAATCGTGGAGGCCCATTATCGGGCCTGCTTGTATGGTGGAGTCAAGATTGCTGGGACTAATGCCGAGATCATGCCTGCCCAGTGGGAATTTCAAATTGGACCCCGTGAAGGAATCAGCATGGGAGATCGTCTCTGGATGGCCCGTTTCATCTTGCCTCGTGTATGTGAAGACTTTGGAGTGATAGCAACCTTTGATTCTAAGCCCATTCCTGGGAACTGGAATGGTGCAGGCTGCCATACCAACTTTAGTACCAAGGCCATGCGGGAGGAGAATGGTCTGAAGTACATTGAGGAGGCCATCGAAAAACTAAGCAAGCGGCACCAGTCACTGCGCCTATAATCCCAAGGGAGGCCTGGACGCCCGACGCCTAACTTCCTCAAAACCTCCAGCATCCACGACTTTTCTGCTGGTGTAGCCAATTGTAGCGCCAGCATATGCAGTTCCCGGACTGTCGGCCAGGTGAAGAAGGGTCACTTTGAAGACCGTCGCCCCTCTGCCAACTGCTACCCCTTTTTGGTGACCGAAGCCCTCATCCGCACGTCTTCTCAACGAAACCGGTGGTGAGCCCTTCCAGTATAAAAACTGAGTGGACTCGACCTCCAGCTGTCGGGCCCTCCTCCTCGTTCTTCCTCCCACTCCAACTCCTCACCCTCTCCTAGTTGTCCCAGTTGTAACTCGAAGGGAGGAATATCAAGGTCTTTTTTTTTCCTTGTGCCCAGTTAATCTTGCTTTCTTTGTTTGGCTGGGATAGAGGGGTCAAGTTAATTTCTTCACATCCCTTTCCTTGTTTTTTCTATCACTAAAGCTTTTTAGTGCATTAGTGGGGAGGAGGAGGGGAAACATAACCACTGCTTCCATTTAATTGGGTGCACCTGTCCAGTAGGCGTGGCTCTCCAGACAGAGCAGATTTGCAGGAGGGGGACTTGTCTTCAAGGTAGCTGGAACAGGAAGACCTGACTTACTCAGGTTAGGTTAGGACTTGCCCTCATGGTGGAAACTTTTCTTAGGAGAATACAACCAACTTTTCTATTACAAGTGGGAATTAGGAGAGAAGGTAGGGGTTGGAATCAGGGAGAATGGCCTTGATCTCTTGCTTGTGGGACTAGCCTGACTTGGGACTAAATGCCCTTCTCTGAACACAAAGCTCAATATAAACTGATGAATATCCCTACCTTGAAAGAAGAAAATATTTTTATTGCTTGGTCCTTGATTTATCACACAAAGCAGAACAGTGTTTTTATATTTAAATGTAAAGACAAAAAAAATTATATATATGGTTTTGTGGATAATGTGTGTTTTGCTAAAGGAGAAAAAACAACATCCAGAACAGACGCACCAAAATTGAGACAAATAGTCTGAATTAGAAATCAAGTAATGCAGGCCAGACGCGGTGGCTCAAGCCTGTAATCCCAGCACTTTGGGAGGCCGAGGCGGGTGGATCACGAGGTCAATAGATCGAGACCATCCTGGTCAACATGGTGAAACCCCGTCTCTACTAAAGCTACAAAAAAAAAATTAGCTGGGCATGGTGGTGCGTGCCTGTAATCCCAGCTACTCAGGAGGCTGAGGCAGGAGAATTGCCTGAACCCAGGAGGCGGAGGTTGCGGTGAGCAG